CATGTGGATGCATGTTCTACGAACAGTGTGGAATTATTGTTATTTCAGCATGTACATGTACATGTATGGTACTAGTGCCGGTACATGTACATGAATGCATGTGTACATGTACATCAATGATTTATTCACTTCATATTAAGAATGGTAACTGCTGGCACAAGGACCATAAGATTTTCAATGTATGTACCGGTACCTGTATGTACATGTACATTAATTGTACCAGCACAGTACCTGATACACGTAATGTTGTACATGTACATGTAGGTTGTTACATCCACAATTATCGGTGTTTATACATATTTTCAGCCACCTCACACCTTAATTTTCAAAGGATGTCAACGTCCCAACTCCAAGTCTGTTGAACTTGGGAGAACTCCATGTGAGAACCCTCAAATGTGCATCAATTTAAAGGGAACAAGCCCTTTTATTTGAGTGATGGGGAGTCAGGTTGGCAAGGTACGGTACATGTAGTTCTTTCCTCGCCTTCCACCTCTGTGGCCCCGGGTTCAATTCCCGGCCCGGTCCACATGTGGATTGGGTTTTCAGTCCCTACCTGACTCCATGGGTTTTACCTAGAATATTCCTCTGGGGTTTTCCTCCCACCTCTAAAACTGTAACTGCTTCTTACTGTCTCCCCTTTACTGATGTTGGTGAATATGGGTCGTTTGGCGGCTGCGCGAGGCCCCCTTGTATGCCATCGGCTCAACCATGTTTAAATGTATTCATTGTTCCAAGCTTAACATTGTACAGTGCATTTGAACACATCTATATGAAATTTGCATTTTATAAATGAATAAATAATGAATAAAATACTAAAAAGATGTACCGTACATGTGCATGTACACATACACATAAAAGAGCACGTTGGGTCAAAATCTGGTTGAAGAGCTAAAACGTACATGTAAGATTTTGGTATCAAATGCCCTGTCTTTATAAGACAGGAATTCATTACATTGTCATGTCATCATAGTTTTTTGTTATGCAATGTCAGACCTGTACATGAGGTACAGTAATATACATGTTCATGTATGTCCAACGACGAAACAAGATTTGACACCCAAACAACAAATTTCATTTCTGTAAACCACATCAAAAAGAAATACATCCAGTAAGTGTACAGTACGTACAGTATGTACACGTATACTTCTGGAATGAGATTTTTTAGAAGAAAAAAGGCTTTCACATGTCCAAAGACATCACAGAGTTGTTGATTTTGAAAGAGAATTAAAAATGCACTCTATCTGATACCGGTACATTTACAGTCAGTTTGTCCCACAAGAGAGGTGTTTTGAGCCACTTTCTAACTATATGAACCGTAATATGTATCATTGCACTTTCTATGATAATTGCGGTACATTGTGTGAAGTTGCCGGTAATAAATTTGCACACTATTTACGAAAACTATTATTATTATTATTTATTTCTGGTAATGACACCAAGGATTCCTCATAAGCACCCTAGGCACTGTAGCTCGCAAGCCTGAAGAAACCTGTAGAGAGGAGACAGTGAGAAGCAGTTACAGATTTAGAGGTGGGAGGAAAACCCTAGAGGAAAAGTCTGGGTAAAACCTACAGAATCAGGTAGGGAATGAAAACCCAATCCACATGTGGACTGGGCCAGGATTCAAACCCGGACAGCAGAGGTGAAAGGCGAGGAAAGAACCACTACACCAACCCGACTCTAAATGTAAACATCTGTAACACAATCGAACTGTATCCAATGGGGCAGATTTGTGAACGGGTAGAAATTACCATCTCTGGAGAAAGTTAAATTGACACCATTCATCACAAAGGAAAGTGTTAGAAGCAGGTGTCTCTAAAAGACGTTGGTGCGCTTAAATCATAAAGGCGAAAGAATACTGTACACACGTGTACGTGTATATATACAAAATGTACATACAGTATGTATCATACGTACAATGTATGTACGTTTTTCGTGATCTGTACAATGGTAATATTTCAGTGTCATCCCCTTTCACACTGAAATATTGAACACATACATGTACAAAATGTACATGTAAATATACAGATGTACATGTACAATATTATACATGTATGTACATGTACATCATTCCGCAATTAATCCCAATTTCCCAACGTAATCCCCTACCCCCCCGTAGCACCAAGTTTGCTGTATTGGTATAATGCAATACATGTACAATCAAAGTCATCCATCAAATTGGATGGACTTTGATTGAATGAACATCTTCTACATGTAGAAGGTACCGGTAATTAAATTCCGCAAGCATCACAGAAAATGGGCAAGTTTGATTGAAGTACATGTACATGTAACACATGCAATCAAATTATTCAGAGCTAAATTGCATTTTCATAATCAATACATATCCAGCAGATTTGGGTGCAACTGGAAGTCCAAAGGGAGACAGATACAGAATTACTGAACATACTGAAAGAGAGAATCATGAGTAGTGAGTACATACAACACATGTAGCACTGCCACTTGTACTATACTCATCCTGTACATGTACATGTGCAAATATTAAGATTTCTAGAAAAAGTATGGTAAACACGTTCATGTACGGTGTGTACCGGTATACATGTACATGTTCATGTTCATGCATGAGTACATGTAGGTGTGGGTAGGCATTTTCACCATGTTCAGCAGACAAGTTCTTTTCCATCCCCACAAAATACCGGTAGGTGAAATGTCGAATGATGTACATGTATGTCCCAATAACTACGGTGCGGGGGTACCGGTACTTGTACTGGTGAAACTGCGATTTCCTTGGCATGGTACATATACACTGTACATGTGATGCGCAAAAGTGAAAATGTTAGTGTCAATGTTCATATCGCACAATACCAGGTTTTTTAATGCAAATAATTATGTCATGATACATGTGATGTACATGTACAGGTGTAGGTAAGATTTTTTTTCTTTTTTAATATCAATTTATAGTGCAGCTACTGGCAAGTGTTCGCTGAATTAATGTCAGTGGCATTTATTTGCAATTAAAGGAAGAACAGTTTAAAGGGTACTACTGGTACTCCTGTACCCTTTAAACGTGTTAAACTGCATGGTTCCTTTCATTACATGTACATGTGCTACTAGTTGCATGCATTTATAACGAAGTCCATTTAAACTTTTAGCACCACATTCAAACTACAAAGGACAGGTATTTATCTTCCTTTATTTCCAAGTTCGCATTTTCCTAAACTTTCCAGCCAGCCATTTACAGCCACGCCATCCAAACAGGGTCCTTTTTTGTAACGTTTAAACAATGTCAGGATTCGAATTGTTTTACTTACATGTAGATGAAAATCTGTATAGAAACAATTTGTATGTTTCATTGAGAGAATAAGTCATGAAATATTTTTCCTGTTATTCAGCATAAATTTAGAGTACATGTACAGTACATGTACGTACATGTACTCTTCAAATTCTATTAACTTGTGAAATTTTATCATGAGTTGTCAAACTTCAATGAAATTGAATGACAAATCATTAGTGACAAAATGCAGGATTTTAAATTGCAAGAACAGGAAAATTGGCCTGGGTACACGTACACAAGGTACTGGAAAATGGAAACATACATCATGCCGTCACGTCAGTGAAAAAATGCCGTCACTGCACATTTTGTGAAATTCAGGTTTTTCTCTGAATTTTGATTCAGATTTACATGAAGAACATACATGTACATGTAGGTAAATTTCATTGAGAAATGTTGCATATAATTCATCACAATTAATAAATGCTGAAATGTATCTTCATTACGGACCTTCGTGTTCATGCTCAGACGTCGTACTAGTATGGGTATTTATTAAAGCGCACTCAACGCAAACTGCCATATTATCACGCTTGTTCAAAATTCGTCAAAATTCATACCGATATTTCCTGAAATGCATATAAAAATGCTTTATTTTGCCCATTTTCCAAGGTAACTGATCACAAATTAAAATTTACCCCAAATTGTTCAATGTTATGATTAAAAATGCCTCCAAGGAGAAAATGTGAGAAACAAATGTACAGGTACATGTAAAGATAAGTTTTGCAGAAAATATAACATGTGCAAAATAACATTTCCACTGATTCAGATGCTACTTGAAATTTTAACAACAGGCTTTATATAGTCAGATGAGGTAAATTTAACTCAAACCTGAGATGATTTGGGAGTTTGATAGTAATAATTTGTGACTTTACCAGATTTACATGTACCTTCTACCGGTACATGCTTAATAATGAGCCACCGCGGTGTGTTAAATGCATGTCATACATGTACATGTAGGTACCGGGTATGGTATGTATCAACAAAGTTACAATGTTTTGGCCAGAATACGCATACATGTAGCACATCGTTGAAGCAAACACGTTTAACAAAGGATCACAGATAGACTAATACAATTCAGCACTGTCAAACTGGCATATTCCAAATAGCCAATGTTACAATCACACACGCATTTTGTCACGTACTGTGCATAATCCTGAATATACATGTACCATGCCACATGTACAAACATGTACCGGTACATGTATGTGTGTGTGTTATTTTTTCTCTCACTATATGTACTTGTTCAGGATGATCTGTAAATCCCTGCCATTCGATAAAAATGGCAAAGCTACCGGTACATACGTGTACATGTAGTGCCAGCTGGTAATTTAGGACAGCCAAAAATAGACTGTAGAAAATCCACACAATTGTAATAATTAACAGATTCTTAGATAAAAAAATAATATCCCCTTAGTGTTTAATTACATACCGGTACATGTACCGGTACACACACTGTATGCTCCTTTCCAGTTTTGCCAAGCACTACTGTAACTGAAAATGCAGGATTCAGTTTGTAATTCAGCAAGTTCAAGGTTTCATCATTAACAGGTTTTCAAGTGAATTCATTTTAGGAATTTATATTCAAATTTCAGAATGAATTCAAAATTCACACAGTTTTGGCACAACAGTTCCATACATGTACGTATACGTACAGCTACAAAAAGCTTGCAAAAATAAAACAAATGGAAAATTGCAAAAAGAGTCACTCTACCTTTTCCATTCATTTGTTCTCCACTTCAGCGATGGTGCAAGTGATCTTCAGCCTTTTGTTTCCAGCCCAAAGAGCTAACCATATGGCCGTTTCCTGGCCACTTGTTTGGCTCACAACGTGGCGTGCACCACCAACTGTTGTGCGTGCACTGCGGTCAATAACAGAGACCACTTCACCACAGACACGCATTAACTGAGACCGCCCCCCATACTGTGCGTTAGACAGCCACATTGATTAGGGCTCTGCCTACAACCCACTGCCGGCATGTGTGGACTGGTGGAGTGACAGATGTGACAGTGATATCCCAGGCCGTGCGTGATGCAATGCTCCTCACACGTGTAGCGCTTAAGTGCACTACACTCAATACCATGTTCTCAAGCACGTTCATACTTATCCTCATTCATTAACAAGTGCAGTGCTGCACCAAACATGCCAAAGATGTCACTTTAGAAATGGCAGCATCTGGTTTACATTCATTTACTGGTAAAAATGTACATGTACAGTGTAAGTTACAGAATGCACTGGTATGGTATGATACATACATTACGGTACGTACCCTGTGATGCATGTGCTGCATTATAGTGGCCTTAAAATTTATGTAAATGTACCGGTGTACATGTACATACAGTATACATTGCCCACTAATCTTTTTGTGTTGAAAGAGGATGAGAAAAGTCTATCATGTACCGGTTCTGGTACTGTACTGCACACTTTGTACATACAGTTCATGTACATGTATAGTACATGTATACTTGTACAGGTAAATGTGTGTACATGTGCTGGTATACATGTAGGCTCCTAGCAAGGAATCACTTTAGTATATGCGTGTACATGTGACTACGTACATGTACATGTGTACACACTGTAGGAACATTATTGCCCTTCATGGTACACGTACATGTACGTCTACATGTACATGTATATATATCTGCATGAATCATAGACATGTACATGTAGAAACATTGCACTATGTATGCACGTACATGTATACATGTACATGAACACACATGTACGTGTACATCACACAACTGATCTTACGGTATCACCAATGACTGCTATTGATACCACACCACCTTGAAGACGAACTGCTCCCAGCTCCCACGGTACAGTATCTTGTTCACAATACCATACGTTTCTCAAATTAAGTTCAAAACAAAACAAACCCAAAAGAAAAGGTAATTAAAAACTAAAAACAAATAGAGAAACCTCTGGGATGTTCATACATTTTGCAACGGATAGAGACCAACATGTCAAGGAACAAAGACACCTAGAAAATTACGCTTATTTAAATTCAAATTTACCAGTACCTGGACCATTCATGTTTCTTCCTTCAACACCAACAAACAGCTCAGGAAGTACTGACATGTACAAATACCGCTAAATGTCCTCTTAATGTAAATCGCAGGCCAAATCAGACACGCAACACACGTGGCTTAGGCAACACACGGAGAGAACAGTCATGTACATGTGCCGCTCCACGTAATTACATCAAATCCTCCTTTACTAGTAAATCATGAACTTTTATGCACAACTCCCCCAATATGCCAGCTGCTGCCCATGCCACTAATGAGTCAAATCCACATTATTACTCATATCCACACGCAGTGGTGTGTACACTGTACCATGTCTGGCTTCAAGCTGGCTTTTCCTGAGTAGACTCTATTCAAGTCTGTGGCATCTGGCCTGGTTAGTACAGAAGCTCCAAGTTTACTCGTAGTCACTTACAAATCGCTGAAATTACAGGCAGAGGAGGGTACCAGTACCTCTAATGGTACAATAGCTGCATGCAGAACATGATTGAGAAGAGACATTTTACATGTATGAAACAAGTATTCTGTGCTTCAACTCCCTCCACTTTCTGACTACCTGTCCTTAGATTCCTCAAAAGTTTCCTGTTGATTTATAATGATCTCAAAGAGCTCAACATTTCTTGAGATGCATGCATGTAACCTGGGAGATACAGACACATGAACAAAGAAACGTTTGCTAATTTTTTGACCATGTACAGCTGCGATGTACTCTTCCTCTTTTCAGAGTGAGATCCGTGACAAATCGACAGTTTGCCAGCTCTTCCCCGGTCCACTCACCATGAGTTCTCAAGACAACCATTTTTACAATCGAAAAAACTCCTGAGTGTTGATGAATGTCCTTGCAGTGACCCACATCAGAATCAGAATCCTAATTTTGAAATTTAAACCTACTTGTACAGTGTACCAGTACATGTACATGTAGGTACAAGCAGTACATTGTAACTACAAATATGTAGCGGTACGTGCACGTACATGTACAAGTACAATGTACACCAACAACATATCATGATTCAATTATAAGTACTGTACATGTACATGTAGGTACAGGTGTATAAATTTTTATAAGTAAATTACCGGTACCTTGATTTTGATGTCTTGATTGCTGCTTTCTACGGTAAGTACCATAACATTTACCAAAAAACTTTTGCTCACTAGTAACACACTGAATGAAGAGTCAGCTAGGAAAGGTGTGTAAAAGTTTTGTACTACATGTATTATGGGCATGGTACACCCAGGGGTATATTGTTAATGTGAAGCGTTATCTTCAACCCTCACAGAATCCAACAATACAAATCGCGTTTTTTTATTTCTCTTTTGTCGTCCACAAAATTCAACCACTGCAAGAGTGCTGGTAAGTTGGTGGCTCAATCAGCTCCAGTGTGTTGCAATTATTGCCAATGATGATGGCTACTACACTGCACAACACTGCCAGGGAAGTGGTGGATTTCCTCACTGCTAACTAGGCCTTCCTGAAACGTACTTCAAGGAACCTGGGAGCAGTTTTTTCAGTCCAAAAGTGTACATGTATAAACCAGCAGTCATGGTACCCGGTACTGTACCATAGTTGGTACAATGTGTACATGTACAAGTCAATACTATACCGATAGCATGGTTAGTCTAGATGACGATCCTACCACACCAGATGGACATTACTCTTCACCTGTTCGGTTCGTGTCCCCTACATACATGACATACATGTATACATGCTACAGTTTACACTGGGACCCTGGATTACAGAGAACCATCAGGATGGTACTGGTATGTAATCAATGATAAGGAAAATTGTGATTACTCTTCGTGTACTCATCAGCTGTACCAGTTTATGAAAATGCATACGAACATTTGTATGTAATGTAGCATGATGTACATGGTAGATTGTTAAGTTTCAGAATGATGTACAAGTAACCCTACAATATGTACAGTACATGTAGACATGTAGGGTCACACAGGCACAGTTCGTGGACATACGGTACGGTGCATACACGTACACGTACCAGTACATGTACACGTACATGTGCTCTGTATTTAAGGCTGTTCTGTTCTGCACGGCATGTGCAGCACTGTACATGTACCGTAATTCTCTGACATGAGAGATGTGGGAAAAATTAAACAAAAAAAAAAAAAAAGAAAAACCAAAACACAAAAACTGTAAGTCTGTTAAAGGTACATTGTACACGTACAGTATGTACAGTGCAATATACAACTGTAAACTTTTACAAGGCATGTAGTTTGTATGTACATGTACCATACTTTGCCAAAGAGAGACTATTTTTTAAACCTATAGATGTGTACTGGCATATGTACGTACATGTACACATCAATTGATACAAATATACCGGTACATGTATACAGTACATGCATGTGAAACAGTGCAAATATTACAAACATGATATTGAGAGTGCCCTGCGACTGCATTGGTACAGGTACCGCTAAACGATGATACACTGTACATGTACACACCGTACAAACTGTGTGGTTAACATTCAATGCGCATAATGGGTGTACTGCTAGTGTGGGTTTCGTACTGAATGCAATCCATTTTGCCTAAAGGAAGAAAGACATTGCACTTTTTTTCCTGAAGGACCTAAAAATCCAAGCTGATTATGTGTATTCTCAGACAAAGAATGCAGGCCCGGCAAACATATTAAATTACACTGTCTTAATCACGATCTCCGAGCAATTGTTGCCATGGCAAACTCAGGACTAATTTCTAAGCTTTCTAGTGCAGAGTTCCCTTTGGGAGCAGCGTGATTATTCCATGTTCGCATGCAAAGGCACAGACATACCAGGTACATGGACATGTACATGTACCGGGTACCCATGCATGCACATGTACATGTACCGTACTACACGTATCAATTACTTCCTTGGTTGGTTTTATCATGGAGGAGTTCCATGTAGGTTTCTGTATGTACCGGTACATGTAATACACTGTGTTCCAATGTATTACGTATTTCCATTCTTTTGAGAATCCACGAACAACCACTGAACAACATGTAAAACTGAACTGAAAATGCAGTGCAATAGGCCTACAATGTACCGGTACTAATGTACATGTACATGTACATGTATACTTGTACCATATTCACAATTGAAGCACTACATAATTTATTTTCAAACATTCTGCACAATTAAAGGATATTTGTGTGAAAACTATTTGACACCCCTTTGGATCTTAATCAATGTTTGGTAAAGTGTAACATGCTTCCAGATGACTGAGGGCGCTGTTTGCTGTGATGTCCAGCGGGGAAAGCACTGTTCAAAATATGGATTTTCTATTAAAATTTTGACACCAAAGTTTGCTCACTGAAACTACAGAGAAAGGGCCAAGAGTTACATTGTAATTGGCCACCCTGAGAACATTTTGGTAATTTATTGTCTAAATACATATGCAGGTACGTGTTCCTTCCTCTATGGTACATGTACATGCAGCACCATACATACATGTACATACATGTACATGTGTACAGTACTACATTATACCAGTGCACTTTATGCTGACCATGTACATGTACATGTACATTAGTGGCCCAATGCATTATTATTTACCATGTTTACAGTGCATGATGTACATGTACACGTGTAATGGTATTCAAAATTGGGTTTATAAAATACATGTACTGGTACATACATGTACATGTAAGTTCTCGATTACTGCAATCAATACCAAGGAGACAATATAAATGTAAACTGATCTTTGAAAAATGTTTAAATAATGACTACACGGTATGTACAGGTACGGTATGTATACATGTACATGTACGTATGTCATTTGAATACCTGTATATTAAGGTACATGTACATGTACAATACTGGTACAGTACATGTACCCATACATGGGTACTTTATGAGTACATGTACATGTACCGGTACTTAATATTTAAATGAAATACATAAGTATATACATGTACATGTACGGTGAGTGGTGTTACGCAACTTACTTTAGAAATTTTTTCTTTTTAAATTACAGGTTCTTCAGTGGAAATTAAATGACTGAGGGGTACCTTGGAATGAGATTTCATTGATTTTCATGTTGCTTAACTCATAAAAGTCCAGCAGTGGTCGTAAGAAAAAGAAACACCATGAATTTCAATCTTTTTTACTTCCAATTTGATAACTAAAATCATCAGCAAGTCTCCTTCAAATCATGTTCCTTAATCCTTAATGTGTCTATGTTCAGATAAACCATGCCTGAACATGCTGAACAAATGCATGACTGGCACTGAAAACCCAAAGAGGGCGGTAATGATGATGTACATGTACAGATGCGGTACAGATGGCGTTCGTACAGAACACTGCAATTCATGTCATAGGCCTTATCGGTAGTTGTAACTTCAAAACGCCTTAAAAAATTGTTTCAGTCTCACTACTTCTAATATGTTGCGGTACATGTACCAGTAGAGATCACCCATTTTGGTAGGGAGGGGGCAATTTCACGAATCTACTGGTACAAAATGTACAAGTGTACATGTGGGGAGGGGCAGGGATGGGAGCTCAGGGGATTGGAGGTGGGAGACGGGTAGCAGCCTACACACATGTACATGTATGTACACTGTACATGCAAGTTTTTCAGAAACCAATCATCTTTAAATACTGGCACTGTTTAACCTTGACGGTACATGTCCATGTACCATGTGTACATGTACCAGGACATGCACACGTGTATAAGACAATAAGTGGTGCTCTTCATGAAGTTTGCACTGCCATAAGTAATGGACAAAAAAGGCAATAAAAACATGAAAAAGCTTAGTTTTAAAGACTTTTCAGACTGACAAAAAATGCATACATATACACAGGAATAGTTCAGCAGTCTGTACATGTACATGCAGCTGAACTTGAGTTATTGGTACGTACATGTACACGTACTTACAGTGAGTATGATGGTGCTGGATCATTAAGTTTGAATAACCCGATTCAACAAAAATGAAATTCTACAGTAGCCAAACCCTTTTATTGAGGCTTCTTCACGACAGTTTTCGTCTCTAACATTATTTTACTACAGTCTGAACAAATATCCTGGAAAGCACTTACCGGTATATAACCCTGATTAACCACTAACGACTGTCTTGTGTGACTTTAAACAGGTTCTAAGTCTGCTTGCATGAACAAAAAATGTATTCTTGTGACAATTCCAAGTCTGTGGATGAACATGCAGGAATATCCCTTTCCTTCACAGCATTACAGCACATGCCCACCATTCACATACAATCCAAATATGCCAAAGAAACACACAGCGTGGTTGTGCAAAGAAAACAAGATTCCATACCCCTGCCCCCCAAAACGATCTTGCCAAAGAACGATGGTCGTCCATCAACCAGATGCATGCGCAGTGTGTGATGCATATTACCAAAGAGTCCACGGTGTGTTTGGATCGTTATTGTGGGGAGAAATGGTATGAGAAGATGGTGAGCAAAGAGCTCCTGACTTTTCTCCCCAAAAGTCAGTTACAAGCACCTGTAGTATTAAAACCCTAGGCTGCTATCTTGTACATGTGGTGTGGAAGATGCAGACCGAGGACCAATCAAGTTTTGCATATTGGTTTGTTCATTTTCGGAGGTGGGGGATGTTTTACCTGTTACAGCCTTACATATATACATGTACAGGCTGCGTGTCCTGCAGGTATCAGGCCAGTCACACAGCTACAGGCTACTCGTGCGATAAAAGACGGATGTCAAAGCTGTGATTTACCGGTAGGACTGAAGCAAACAAAATTCTTTAATTACACCTTAGCTGGAGTGATGTAGTGCAAGTATTCCCATCTCATTCTCTCAGTGAAGGGTACATTTAAGTTTAAAATGTTTAAGCAGAAGACTGAACATGGAGTCAAATACAAGTGAAGTGGAACATTTCTCACAAAGTGAGGCTAATTTGTTTCCTTTAAAAGCAACATCTTTGTTTATTCATAAACACAGGGCTTTAGAGGCCTTCATAGAAGTCATTTCTCGATAATGGGATAAACGAGACTCCACTTCTGTTTGCATACGATGCGCACAGACTATCAGAGATTTTCTGAGCCCTCCTAGAGGAAAATAAATTGCGGTACGAACAAATCTTCTAAATCAAGGTAAAAAGTAAAAGTTAAACAACAGCAAGATCCAAGGACAGGATAATTCAGGAAGATGAGTAGTCTAAATACCAAATAACTTGGACCCTACATGTACAAATTGCCTTTTTTTAACATTTGGACATGGTCAGGTGATAGTACGTTCCAAGTACCCTTCCATATACATTTCCAATACTTTTGCTTTCATTACTTCATTTCACTCTAACTGGCTCGTATCAAGAGTCAAAATCCTCTGATTTCACCGCTCAAACTGTCCTTAAAATGTCAAATATGCCCATCTATGGATTTAGTGAGAATCAAAGATTCCAATGATGATAATATGGTTCACTCGCATGTAGGAAGAAAAGAGAAATTTCCCCTTCAAGTCAGAAACGCTCTTGTCGATGAGCTCAAAGACGTCATCTTGCCATTTGAACTATATGTTGATGTCCTGTTGACGATGTCGCGGCGCGCCAGCCTAGCGGACCATTCACAGAAAGCATGCTGTGTTGGCACATGCACGCTCATGACTGTTTCCTGAGCAGCGTAATGTTCAGTATACAGTTTCGATATGGTCACAACTTTGCCCGACCAAATGTTAAAATGTTACAAAATTGCGATTTGTAGGGTCCAAGTTAATTGGATAATTTAATAGAAGGTGAGCAAGCAATCTTCATTTCAATCGGGAAATGTGAACAAGCAATTTTCACTTCGATCGGGAAATGTGGTAACTACTGCAATAAAAAATAGACACAGAGTAACCCATCCTCCTAGGCCCTTCCTCCATCATCAGGTCGGGGACCAAACACAATCTAGCAACGTCCCTAGTTTCTGCTTATGTCGCTACATTGTAGTTTAAGCGGTAATGACGTCATTTTCATCAGGTCACGTGATAATGATGTAATTTTCCCGTGCAATTTTGGAAAAAAAAACAAGATTTGAAATGTCGGCAGCCAACATGGCCACCGTTGCCATTACCATTGGAGTCTATGGCAAAGTTGTTTTCGATCGCTATTTTGGAAAATCGCCACAGTAAACATAAAATCTGCCACGTTGAATCGATGGAGATTTATATTGGCGACATTTTCATGCATAAAGTAAATTTCGGCAAAGCTTCATTTTTTTCGCGTAAAGGTTTCATCAGCAGAGTTGGACTTGCCTGCCCACCGAATTCGACACATCCAGTGCATGATTTTACCAAAAATTCTCCTCGATCCGCTTTTATAGATACCAAATGAAAGTAAAATTTCATTTAGATCTTGGGTAGCATGTTTCCTGTAAAGTTGATCGATCAGAGGAATTTGTTTTGAAGTTTCTGGCCGATAAAGAGATTAATGTTATCTGCAGACCGTGATCTAAAAATAGCTCAAAAATTACATCATCATTGCACACATGAGCGGCGCATGCATAGTCTGGCATTGTCATTCGTTTGTGGTTTGATCCCCGACCTGATCATGTCCATGACCTCACAACTGCTCTCGAGGGATGGGAAACTTTGATTGAGAAGTACTCAAGTAGGCCTACCAAGTACCATGGCAGTAGAATTTTTGTCAACACTCACCAATTTACTTTAAAGGCTGGGGTAAAAAACACCTGTGTCACCAACCCTGTGTAAACAAAAGGGCCAAATAAGATACATGATGCAAGTGCAGAAGTAGGGGCCCAGGGCATACGCATGCGCACATGGCATGCCAATTTTGGCATGCAGTGTCATGCAATTCACCATGTTCACGTCATGACGATCATACAAACATGACATGTAATACATTGTCATGATTGCAAATGAGCAGAAAATATACCACAGACATATACTTACCTTAACGCCTGAAAGAAAAATACTTCTTTTCAAGGAATAAACGCTGCACATTAATTTTTTTTGTGATGTTTCGTTTCTTTCCCTGGCTGTAGTGTTACGGGGAGTGAATTTTCTACCGAAAATTAATTTAGATTGATCCATACGCCTTACGTTTCAGATTTACCACAATAATTAACACTACGTTATCGTTAGGTACCAGACGGAGAGACTAGTTGGAGAGCGCCCTCCTTTGATATTGCAGTGAATCGTCATTGACAGTTTGTTGGATTCTTCTTGTTGCTCGGTGCTTGCAAACAGCATTCCTGCTGATCGTCAGATTGTATATACTGTGCGGAGATTAGGCCTGCCACTGCCAATAGCTGTAGGAATTCAGTGCAGTAGTACATTTTAATTTGCCATTGGTAGGCAAGTTCTGAGATGGATGAATTCGATATACCCGAAAGAGGTAGGTAACTAGGTTACTTTTTTTGGAATACGGCCAGCCGTTTTTACATGTACATGTTTAAGTCCATTTCAATTTTGTTCGTTAAACATGTTAAGCCAGGTTAACCACGTCAAGTGGTAGACATGCATGATGCAGTGAGGAAACGGGTCAAGTCGTCCCCCAAAATTGAAACCCTGGTCAAGTCGTCCCGGGTCAAATTGTCCCCAAGTCAAATCGTCCCCGGTAAGTCGCACCCCACTAGTTCTTACAATTTTCATTCGTTCTATGCAGCTACATGTACATGCAGTAGCTGGCGGCTTTTGAAATCTACGGTGACCAAGACGTGCCACATAATATTATTAGAAGGGCGATTCCTGGTGTGTGCCAATGCATAGGCCAATATAACAGCCCATAGGCCTATTCTTTGAAATGCCAAAGCAAATTGATCATCTTTAAATTTCAAATCTTCCAGTAGTCATTTCCAGTTTATTTGAATATTTTTCTGCAATCAGTAATGCGGAAATGAATTTTAGTTATTTTGAATTACTAGGAAGTACATGTACATGTAAGAAAACCAGTTAACATTTTGACTGGGTTGTTTTAAGAGTGTAAAGTGAAGGAAATCTTGTAGGATTGTATTGAAGTTATATTTTGTAATAAAGCTCATTGTAAAATGAAGTTACTTGTACAAGTAATTGTTGCTTATTGATAGATCGTTTAGGGTATGCGCCTAATTGGGGCTCCATATCAGTGGTGTGTGTGAGCACTCCAAGTCAGCCGCAGCCTTTGTCCAAGCGGCAAGGCTCAATGCGTACGGCTACCCTTTTGAGGTTTCACCGACGAAGGTGGTGTTTCACAGCAGCTTTAGATGTGGCGTACGGGCCGACAACTGAGCCGGGGACGCTCTGCGCTGGGACGCATTATACTTTTCTTCCAAATTTCTCAAGGGCTCATTTTCACCCTCTATTCTTAGAACTGTATGCAAGCAGGCCTTCCAGTGCGATCAGTGTGAGCACTGGCAGCATCGGGCGTGTGACAAAATTACCGCAGTTAAAACTTGATATTAAAGTAAAAAAGAAAATAAATTATCCCCCCCAAAGTTGCCGCAGGAAAAACTTGATAAGTAATAAAGTTAAGAAATAAATTATCTGCCCCCCCAAAATTAATTACCGCAGTAAAAATATGAGGAGTAATAAAGAAAATAAATCCCCCCCAAACAAATGGCCGCAGTAAAATTATAATTGAATTATTTATACGGGGGACGATTTGACTAGGGGACGAGTTAACTCAGACCGAGTTGACTTGGGGATGATTTGACCCGGGGACGACATGACTCAGGGACGACTTGACCAACATTCACAAATGACAGGCACAGACGTACAGGTACATCATACACACGTATACGTAACGTACTGTACATGTACAGTGTACATGTACTCCGTGGTGCAAGATGTACAGTTTACCATTATCTGGTCAGACATTACATGTACGTGCATTGAAATACCTGCACATACTGTACACATGTACATGTAGCTGGTAAGTATTGACTACTCCTTCAGAGCAGGACGAACACAAGGTGTAATCAGTTAGCCTCAGTGACTGTCATTCATGAGGGAGGCATGTGACAACAGTTTGATCTCCAGGTCAACAGGTAGTTGTAAATTTTTTTCCAACAAGAAAGGGTCATCTTTTTAATAAGCACATATTTTAAATCGACCCCAAGTTCAATGGCAGGATGTCTAATTTCACTTTTGTTTCTGTGATTCACGGATTCATGGCTCTGAAACATTTTAGAAAGAGGAAAACTCTGAAATATTTGTTTTAAATGATTATCTTACAGTAAACACAATTAATAAATGTACTTGTATACACGTAGATGTACATGTATGTACCACAGTATGTTAAGCTAAGAAAATCGGTCATGATTCCTTTCATATTTTTGATAAAACAATATGATTTTAACTGAGACAAAAATTCCACTTTTGAAATTTTGACTTCATGTGACACTGCCTCTACTTGCTGATGACGTGACCTACATGTACAATGTACATGTATGTACAGTACATCAGTTCTGTCTGCCTGTGTGAAACTTGGCCTACTGGTACATATATGCATTTGATACAAGTACTGTACTTACTGTACATTGTACATGTACATAGGCCTACATGTATATACACATTGTTACTCTACATGTACGTTTTTGTGAAGCCAAGCCAAATCACCTTGTTGACAGTAACAAGTTCCTAGACATTGTGAGTGAACCGCAGACTGACTCAGCAATATTGCTTTAAAATTGCCAATACTGTGCAAGGTTATCATAATAAAACGGAGAATGCTTTATGGGTGTGATCCACTTTTACATGTTCATGCATGGAGGTAAACAACATTGGTACCTCCATGGTATATGTACATGTACGCAGTGTAACCTGGGCATGTACGGACATGTACCTGTACGTTGATACATGTACATGTAAATGTACATTGCACTTTATTAAGTTACTCACATTACGACAAGCCTTTTGCCATGCTTGCGAGTTAATTTGGAATAAAATCTGGTACCGGTATACTGAGTCCTTTCAATTCAGGTGAACATAACAATTTGAATTCTCCATACCAAAGACACTGTTGCTATACATGTACTGTACATGTACCTCATGATTCGGGGCAAACTTTTGATTAGTTACATTGTACATAAGAAACACCTTGCACCAATACTTACACTGTTTTCAGTGAGTAAGGTGTTTAGCTTGTGGCATACCATGACGGCCATCCAGCTTGATTCCACTTTTCCTCCGTGCTGATTTTTGTTTTCCAGCTTTCCTTTATCCTTCTGGCTGCCAAGGCAAGGCAATTCATGCAGTAGTGGTGATTTTCCTTTCCCAAGACTCACCCTATCTGATCCCGCCATCTCCTTCTCACTTGCCGACTTACTTGGGTAGCTTGAATTAACGTTGTTTAATTTTGTTCACTGATTTTTTCCTGAAATTTTTCTTCCCTTCTCAGTTGGAACACCACCGCCGGTCTTCCCTTGCGACATCTGCGGCCGGTCCTTCATTGAACAGACCTTACAGCGACATATCAAGATCTGTGAGAAGAATGCTGTCAAGCAGAGGAAACCTTTTGACTCCTTCAAACAGCGTGCGGCGGGCACGGACATCAAGACTGCGCCCAAGGCTGATCCCAAAAAACTTGAGAAGGCGGTAAGACACTCAAAGCTCAGAATGGGCTGCTTGCAAGTATGTGACATCACAAGCATCCTTGTGGGTGTTGAAAGGAATTGTATCTTGCCTCTCTGGGGAAAAATCTTTTAAAGAAAAAGGAAAAGAAGCCACAAAAGAAAACGGAAATTGAAGGGGATGTACATGTAATTCACCCCTTCCATGAACCCCTCCCCCGAAACCTTTTCCTTTTTGCCTGCTTTCTGGTATGGTAAAGCCCATGAGCATTAGCACATGTACATTTGTGTACATTGTACCAATACACAAGCTGATGGGGGGAATCTACAGTACAAGTGTATTTTGGAAATACCGGTATTCCGTGAAACTGCCATGTAGTGTTTAAATGTTTAGCAAACTTTTCAGTCAGTCTGTTGCATTCTACGGGATTGAGCTACATGTACATGTACATATGCAGATCTTTGACTTGTACCGTAGCACATACATGTAAGAAACATCAAGGTACATGTACACATGTACCAGTACAAGCTGTGAATAGTGCGTATGGATTCCAAATAAACTGTTGAAACAAACTGCCCGAGATACCCGGTACATGTACCGGTATATTAAAGTCCAGAGTTGCTTCTCATGCTTTGTAGATAAAAGAGTTTGATTCATGTAGATGTTGCTGCTATGAAAGTTCAAATTGGATTGGAAAAGCACAACTTCAAGATTTCAAATTGGGGATCTGTTCAAATGTTTGCGATGATTGGTAAACTGAAATATCATTTAATATGTGTATGCATATGCATGGCTGTAACATGCACATTTCTAAACATAATTCTTGTACCTTATAGAAAAGAGCGACAGCAAACTGGCGCAACAAGCATGAAGAACTAGTGTCCACGCTGCGGGCAGCGAGAGGGGTCACTCATGCAATGAAGACAGGGGCACCCCTACCCCCACCTCCCTCACAGTCAAAGGTCAACCCAGGTAGGTTGTCGAGACTCAGCCCCAGCGGCAGAGGTGGGTAGAGAAAGCATGGCTCTTACCTGCACCATGTGCACTGTATTGCCACCAAGAGAGCCAGCAGCAGCCTGTGTGTGCTACAACAGTCATTTGCAAAAGTTTAGGACCACCCATAGAAAATGCATTAACCTGAAAGAAAACCAAACTTAAACCAATCAATCATGGCAACTTACATGTACACGTATGTTTATTTTCAGTGTGTAACCTTGGTACATTGGTTGAACATTTTTGACCACATTTCCATGATTTGGACATGTTAACAGTCTAATATTCAGTGTGCCCTCCCTTATTTCTGATTGCTTAGACTGGTTTTTTTTACCCATGCTGCCTTGCAGGCAAAATGTCACACAAGACCTGCCTTTGCAAAAAAATTCACTCAAATGGGTATATACATGTAGCACTACACTGATGTTATGCACCACTGTAAAAATCATGTTAAGTAATCATTCGGTGAGACAGTGTAATGCAGGCCCAGTGACAGAAATACCAATAAAATTCAAGGTGGTCTTAAACTTTTGCAAATGACTGTAAAAAGAAACTACATGTATTATCAGAATGAGACAAATTACTATTAAAGGCTGGTTCATACATGTACCGGTACTTGCCATGAAAGTTAACATGAATGCAAAATTGTACTTCAGGTAAAATATTTGTGCTGCGAAATTTGCAAAAGTTGAACACCTTTCAGCTCGAGCATTTCGAGACGTCAAATTCACTTGGCTCTTCTGTTCCCCTGAAATGTTAACCGGCCTATGAAGATCATTGCATCGATGGTCCAGAATTCCTCTTCAGCTTGAAAGAGCCTGTTCAGAAGTCCAACAGCCTGTGCACAAAATGAAGTGTGGCAAAGGTCATTCGGGACAACCAGCTTGTGCGCGTCAGATTGGCCGCATCAGTTCGGCCACACACGCAGCACAACACACGCAATGCATGTTCTGACTGGCAAGACATCAGATACACTTTCTGTTCACAAATAACTTTGCCCTTTGAAATGTCAAATTTGCTCCTTACGTTGACTTGAGGAAATACGAATAGTCTGCTGTGGTTTATTTGGGTGCTTTCACCATTTACGGTACATGTACCTGTGTGTAGGCAAACCTAACCACTGAACTGAAAGAAAACAAGCTGTAGCCCTGAAGAAGTGTGAGCAGGTGCACCTGCTGATGTGCATTCTCTTATGTGAGCCAAGTGGTGACGACTGATTTAAAGCTCTACAGGAAAGTGTACATGTACATGCAAAATGTGACATCATATGTACATGTATTTGGACCTATTGCTCCACCTTGGTGTAAATGGTCTGTTGTAAGGAAGACATCCACACCATTGTGTGAGTTGGACTCCCCAGTGTATTGTGAAGCTTTGACACAAAAACAAGTCTAGTGGGTAACAGGCTGGCTTGTTCAAAGTTATAAAATAAAGTTTACTAACAGTGTGTCCCAGAAATGGTGCAAGTACATGTACATGTACATTTGTAAATACTAAACAGTATAAAGAAAATAAAAGCCCTCAAGACTGAGTTGGTGCCACTTCCTAGTCTGATCACCAGACCTATCATAAAAACATGCATTTTACATGTACCATTTGATTTCAAAGGGGTTACTGATAGATTTTACACTGAAGCATGCTGGGGAGTAACTGTTTTTTCTGGAAAGTGGTACAAGCCCATTTTTGAGTTTTGTGTTTACTGGGACATACATGTACAGTGTACAGTCACCAAAAGCAAATAAGATGGAATGATAGGCATCATCAAGCCAAGGGTGTCGTCCTTTGAACCATGGACAATGTTTGCTTGTGCCTTGTTTTTGGCAGACACACTGCTTATGCTCAAAGCAGATGTTTGAGAGTAGGAAATTTGGAATTTCAGGCATGGCAGAAATGAAGTTACCAGTGTTTGAATCATGCCCGCAGATTACGTGCAATGTCCAACATGCCAGAGAAACTTCAATGAATCTGCAGCAGAGAGGCACATACCATGGTGTAAAGAAAAGAATAAACGGATAGGAACTACCAGCAACAAAACAGCAGCTGAAAAGGAGAAAATGGCCATAAGGACACAGGTACAAACTAAGACAACATTCAGTGAGAGAACTTAGTACTTTTTGTATCCCAACTCCTAAAAATCATTCTCAGTTTAAAGTGGAAGAAAATTTCTATTTACATGTACAAGTGCGGGGTACTTTTTCTTTAAACCCAAGATCAAAATTGGAAACATTGATGCAACTAAACTACAGTCAGTCACCCTGTGGGTGTAGCCATATGGTTAGAGGATACCTTTGTGAAAATCCATGAATGCACATGTACCTCAGGATGCAACATGTCTATGTTCTCCGTGGTCAACTTGTTCTGTAATAAGTTCAACTGATCAATAGTGCTGGAATGATGTCTGTGACCCTTTGGACAGGCTCCTAAAAGTCCTACAAATTGGAAATGGTGTCAGTGGTATTTACATTTTCATTGTCGATGTCAATGGGAAGGTACTTACATGACTTAAGTGTATGGGTACTTCCAAGCAGCCATTAACTTTGACAATATGCCATTGGTTTCCTGAACCTTGAATAATGTTGTTTTATTCAGAAAATTTCCCAGCAAGAATGCCTTGGCAGTTAAGGTTAATTGACAGCTCATATTGTAAAAGGTGCATTTAAAAGTTTCTCAAAATTGAGTAGAAATTGGAACTCGAGGGAAAAAAGAAACGTAGTGCCTAAAGCATGTGTGGGTCATATGCCAGTCTTCAACAAGTATTGTCAGTTTTCTTCACCCAATCTGCACAGTACAAACCGCCTTTGCCAGGGAGCAAGAAGCGACAGATTGTCCCTCCAAAGGCCGGCCCAGCCTTGAGGACAGGGCGGACGGGCTCCGGATCCAACATGCAACATTTGGAGGACCAGTACAGTAACATGAGCGTGAATGAGAAAACCTCATCTGGCCGAGGGAGAACGAAACCAGGTCAGTCAGGTGAGAAATTTAATCCTGATAGTCAGTTGTGTTGTAACTGGTAATACATGCAGTTCACAGGACAGTGCAACTACAAGAGGTCGCCATGAAGTGGCTATAGTCATGTTTACTGTCAGCAAAAACAAAACATTGGTCTTTGTCTGTCAGGTTTTTTGAGTTTCAAAGTATGGGAGCAGTGCTCTGCCGCCTCAGCAAAACACACTTTTAACCACTTGGTGCCGGGGTTCCCGGTACCGGGTACGTTGGGTTTGTACGCATAGCCAGGGTGCCCAAAATTGGGCAAAGGAGCTGGGCCTTGTAACAAAAGACCGAGCTGCTGGGAATTGTCATCCTTTTCAGCTGGCATAAGCGGAGGTAATCCGTCACTGTTTTGAAGCAGTATACCACTGTTTGCGGCATTCAGATCTTGCTGATTATCAGTGGGGGCAAAAAAGCTCCAGCACTCCAGCGATGAGCGATACAGTACTGCTGCACGCTAATCTGGCCGCATTTGAAAAGACACCACTGCCATTCAGCAATGCACTGGGCCAATTTTGGGAACAAAGGAAATTATGCAACACCACACAATCTGGGCTCTCTTTACTGGGTGGCAGGCCTGGCTGTAATACTCGGATGTCAATGGAGGTTGCCTGTCAGATTAGAGTAGCCACCAGACAGTTATTCGTGTGGGTGTGAGCATCCAGTAAATGAAGTTATGAGTTTTTGAAGAATTCTGAATGGGCCTAAATTGTGTATTTGCTGATGAAGTCCAGCCTTGTTGACATATACATGTACACTTTCCTATTATAGAGCTTTGAATCCATCAGTTCTTCTTGGCTCCCATAAACAAGCGCTCATACAGTACACGTACATGTACATTTAGCATGATGTCATCAGTAAACATGGTAAATAGACCTACTGGTTAACCTGTGATTGAATTGGGAAATCATACATAATACTAGTATGTTGAGGCAACCAACATCACTTTTGTTTGTTAAGTATTTATAATCACTAACACTATCACTGCTCTTCTTCATCAGGTGGGTATGGGACGGTCAACGGATCCAAAGCCCGGAGCGCAAGTCTTGAACGGCGGTTAGAGAAGTCGTCTGATAACTACCGCAGTTCCAGCGGCGACAGCGTGCGTGGGAAGAGGTAAGGAGACGTCATTAGTTAAGTGCATGAGCTATGCTACTGTGTTGTACAATGGCAGCAGAAGAGCTCAGCTATCCAAAATGTCGTGGCTGCAATTTGAAATTACACGGCTACCTATGAAAACCATTGAGTAGTGGCTGCGGCCATCTGCCACTGATGTGCCAGTTGATTTGGACAGCCACTCACATTTCCATTGGAAACTGCAGTGTCCTTTCTGTCTGTCTGCCTGAGAGCAGCAAATGGCATGGAGCAGAAACAGCAAGTTGCTGTTTTGACCATAAGTTCAGTATGCTACCAGTACTAAAAGGTACTGTATTCCAAAGCACGTAGATACATGTGCGTGTACCATCAAAATGCAGTTCTTGAAACCAGAAATGCCAGTTTCAAGAAAACAAACACAGAAAATCATCTATAATGTATATGCACTACATTTGAAATTGGAGCAGCCATAGAATGCTTTCAAGTTTGTTCAGGGTTAATGCAAGTATGAACTTGAAGGAATTTGATGTACATTTTATATAAGAAACATTCTCATTGAAATTTGGCAGAGCTGAAAATGATTGAAGTTTTGCAAATTAATTCACACAAATGTAAGGATTGCCGAATGACTGATTATTCTGTATTTTTGTTTGCCTTCTGTGTTTGTCATGTCATCCCATTTATCATGTGATTTGATATCCACACTTTGTGTTTCCTTTTACCATGGTTGCACTTGTTCACATGTGTCATGTTGGTTAATTGCTGCCATCCACTTGTTGCTTCCTTTGTTTTTTCACTGATGAATCCCCTGTGCCATGTTATGTTCTGTGTGTTGTCTACTTGGAATCAACACAACATCCACATGTTATCCACTTGTCATTCGTGTGTTACTCCCACCTCCATCTCATCCACATGCTGTTCATGCTCTATTTGTATGTAATCCACATACAACTTGCATGCTATATGTTAATCATCCACTCATTATTCCTTGCGCATTTGTATGCCATCTACAACCCATCCACCTGTTATCCATGCACTATCCCCATCCTCCATACATACGCTCCCAACCAATTCCACCATCCGTCAGATACACCGATGACGAGGATGAGTATGATTACAATGGCTACGGTGATGCGGCTGACCGCTACGGTCGTCGGAAAGCAGGGTCGAATCACATATTGCCTCACCAACGAGTGAAAGCAGCCAAAGTGCAGAGGTTTGTTCCCTTCCCCCAGTTCCTTGCCCAAAAGTTTCCTCAAAGCAACCCGTTCCATTCCCTTGCAAATTCCTAATAAAGCAGGCAACCCATGGATCAATGATTTAACGTACTTTCAGATTTTTCCCATGTCACTGTTGTACATGTAATTTGTCCATCCATCGCTTAACAAACTGATAGTCAGGTTATCTTTATTGTAGAGTAATTGGTTGTGCTTCTCAAACAGTGCTCTGCTGAAAGTGTAGCTGTAGAAACAAGTGTTATGAATATTGGAGTCATAAATTTACACTGCCCCAAATGAAGTGAAGAACCTCATTCAATGCATTGAATTTGGACAAAATACAAGTAGGTTAACAGAAACCATTAATGGAATGGCTGCAAACTGCTGGCTCGCAGCACTAAATCACAGCTTCATGAACACTGCACTGCACAACAAAAGATATACTGTAGGAAGTTATTTGTCAATTTGTTACATTGCAATTGGGTCATTCCGTGAAGTTGGGGCACAATTTGTGACAGCGTCCTTGTTACATTTGCAACTTTTACCACCTGTCATGATCTCTGGAGTAGGTCAATTACTTTGTAAAAATAACGCACACCTCTGTATTCAGCCTTGCAATATGTATAACAATGTCAATTTGGAAACCACATGAAGGGAACTACAGGTACATGTACACATGTAGCTGTTCATATTTACGGAACCCATGTAACAATTGACACCATCACAAATTGTGCCTCAGCCTCATGGAATGACCCAGCCGTCAAAAACTATTTTGTAATGTTAATCATAGTCTGTTGTGACACACATGTATAGGTATACCACTGAATATTATATTCAGATACATTTTTTTCTGCCAGTTTATTATGTTTTCAATGTATGAAAACTATCTGACCTCCCTCTTATTAGATAAATGCATTGATAAGGGCACTTTTCAACCATTCCAAATTGTCCATGTTCTGCCAGACAACTGAAGGTACTGTTGCAGTGACATCAGCTAAGGAACCAATGATTCAGTGCATAGGTGTTTCTCTTCAAATTGTTAGCTGATAGTATTTTATGAAAAAGGGTTGCTCCCTGATTGCAATGGACATGTACTTACAAAATGCATCGCCGCAGAAAAGAAATATCAGGCCAGCAACATAAAAATCCAGCTGTTTCTTGTGCACAAGCTATTGTAGCATTGACATGATTGAGGTTTCCGTGTCTCCTCAAGTATACATTAGCATCACAATTTTGCTCGTGAAAATAGAATTACATGTACCCATTAGCAGAAAAACCAAAACAAGTGACAAAATGCATTGAAAATAGTGAAACTAAAGTTAAACATTGAGGTTTAAAAATCAAGACATGGTGCATTTTGAAGATTTGCATTGTACAAAATGCATTGCAGTAACCCTTGAACTATTGCGGTGTAACCTCTCATTACTTAAACAGGTGTGTCTGTTTCTTATTTCAACATTGTCTTTCTTTGGTGCTTCAGATCAACAAATTCGAGGACCCCTACTCCGCCCTCCAAGTACTCCTCAGGATCCATCCAGCGTAAGCCTAGCCTAGAGAACGTCAACGGCCGCCGGGCCTCCAAGTTTTGCCATGAGTGTGGCACTCAGTACCCCGTTGCCCAGGCTAAGTTCTGCTGTGAGTGCGGCACCAGGCGGGCCTTTCTGGATTGAAGTAGTCAAATCAGTGATGGTTCCTGTGACTTGCCAGGCTATTTAGTAGAAAGTCTGCAAAACCTATCGGAAGGTTTGTGAAAACCTCCTTTTCCAGCCTTTGTCCCCTTGACTGAAGTCAGGAACCGACCATCCAGTCAGAGCATGTTTCTGCTGTTACAACTCTTGGCTCTGATCAAGTACTTGAGGACAGAAAGATTATACAAGTTTCAGGGAAGGGACAAATGGCCCCTCTGATCTGCACTGAATACACCAGTGGTCATGCTAAATGTTTAAGTTTTATATACACATTGGACTTTGTTGACACACAGCTACGTGTACCTGAGTTACATTTAAATCCGGTCTTAGTTCCTTTCCAGTAGACCGAGATCAGAGGGAGAACTTTAATGTGCCATGCAGGAGGGGGGCGGGGATGATAGAAACTATGAATATTTTTTCTCACAGTGAATTTTCAAATGCCTTTACTTTTGAAAGAATCTTCACCCTTTCCCCTCCAAAGAAAGGTGGTAGCACTGATTCAAAACTGTTGGTCTTTTCCCTTTTTTAAATGAGAAAAGCAACAGTTTTGGTTGGTGGGGTCCATTTCTGAGCATAATACAGCAACTGTTAAATTTAGTTACAAGGCCCAAAAATATTGTGCATTTTCTCAAATGATGAAGCATTCATAGAGCTAGAAATTTATAAGGCTAGTGATTATGCACTCATCTTAAGATTTGGAAATTATTTTGACTGTTTTAAACCATAAATAAACACAAACGAGAGTTGGCCCATTCTTCCTTGAAGACTCACTTTAAATGAGTGAAGAAAAGAAGCATGGTTCCTATTTTTTCGAAGTACTTTAAGTTGTTAAATCTCCGAAGGGCATTTAAATAGATACACTTCCATGTTAATTTGTTGGACACAATTGTTTTTCTTTGTGAAATGTGAAAATTGATTTCACACTCTGAGTTGATGTATATGAAGCACTGAGGCTGTAAATTTTTTTCTGTTTATTTTTATCATTCCAATCCAGTTATTTTAACAGCCAGTACTGTCTTTGAATGAAATAATGAACCTTGTGAAATTCAGTGTATGTTAAACATATGTAGTTACTGCAGAAGTTTAACTGTGTAAATAAAGTCAGCACAGTTCATGTAGACATATATGCAACATTTGTTTTTGCATAATGCCCCTTTGTAAATAGCCATGCATGTACATGTATATAAGGTTAATGTAAATATTCTGTTGGTATGCTTGCATAAAGTTGTTAAAAACTTGTGAATTAGTTGTATTGAATTTGTTGTTGAAGTATTCATCATTGAAACTGCTTAACAAATAACTTTTGCTCAGAGGGGAATACTTTCCAGTGCCCCTCCTCTAAAACTTCTAGCCATTTCTCAAACCAAGAAGCATTCAGTGGCACCTAAGAAATGAATACACATTTTGTATCCCACTTTCCTTTTGAGGTTTTATCTTTGTTACTGTCAAAATGCCGCTGATAATGACTCCCCTTATTAGACTAAGTATCTGTCTGCACATCAGCATTTTCCAGAAGTATTTCATAATTTGGTGATTCAAGTTCACGGCTCTATTGCAGAAAGGCCCAGGACTCCTCACCAGTAGAAAAGAAATACCTGTGCATGTATGACCTGCGTCATGAATTTGATAGTCCCTCTATGCAGGTGACAGCATAAAACAGATTGAGCAAGAAGAATATGCATGTTGCCATTTCTAACAAGATGCACAAACATATCAAGAGGTGACATTCACCTGCTCAGTCAGGAGCGTTGGGCAGAGAAACGATTTGTAAAGGGAAAAAAGGTAACCAATGAAAATACCCAACTCGTGCATAGGCAAAGTCGGCCTATTTATTCAAAGGGCACAGTAGGCCCAGTGCCTAGGGCCTATGATAGATTCAGGGCTCTACAAAAAATATGAAGGCCTGTGAAAATACCACAGTGTGATATAAACGCACAGTTTTTTTGGCTATTTGTCACTTCTCAATTTTGGGAAAACTTAATTCAAACTAGCTAGTGCACAGCTTACAATCAAAATGAAATGCAAGGCTTCATTGCTTGTATAGTAACACCATAAAGTTGATGGTGGTAACTTGGGCAGGGTAAGGCCTACACAGAACACTGTCACTTGGGGCAATTACGTCAATTTCCTGTCTCTGTATTGGAAGGGACCAGCTTCTTAGTAGTTTTCTTCCATGGGGATCACAAATGGTTGGTAAGACACGTTAAGTGTGACAACCGTACTTGTGAGTATCCTTGCGTGTGCTTTGTGAACAAGACAGCATTGAAGCTTTGCCGTTTGCCCCTTGAATGCAGTTCACTTGCTACCACTACCTTGCTATTTGTTATCTGTTTTAAAAGGAGAAGAAATCGCATCAATAATTCACGTTTGTGTTTTTAAGTATTTCGAGCTTTTATTTTAAGGTACATTAAAGGTACCTAACACTAATGTTCTAAGATTCAATAAGGAATATAATTTCTTGAATCACACAAAACACTAAATTGTATTAGCAGACGATAATTAGATAAAATTTGTCTGTAGGTTTATATGTGCAATATGTACTTAATTCCTGCATGAAAGCTTAAAGGGGAGGACAATGCATGCATCTTTACTACTGACACTTCTCAGCTCTTGGGAACAAGGGTGGATCCATAACCACATGGTCGGATCTAAGGGGGCTATGCCCTTCCCCAATTGAGCCATTTTTAGTTCTTTTTTAATTAACAATGGCAGGTCATTTTTGGTCTTTCATTTTACTTCCTTCATGAAGTATGCAAAAGCCCTAAAATGTAGCCTCACCCCTTTGAAAGGCCACACGAGGGTTTACATAAAAGTGTGTCAAAATTGTAACCAATCCTCACTACCAACCCCAAAGGAGATCTGGCCCCGTTGAACAGTTTGGGAAGATTACCTTCAGTATTTTTGGTAAACACAGTGATAGTAGAGTGCTTATGTTTTTCCACAGAGTTTTACCAACTATTCTGTTTTAACAAAGCTTTTGCGTACATCATTCTTTGATCAGCCGTCGTCATAATATTGCATGGGCAGACATGCAACATCACGTGACCAGTATGACAAGTTCAACCAACAAATGGAGACAGTTACATTGGACCTGGTTATTTGGCTGGCTTTGTATTCATGCTTAACTGTTTTACATAAAATGATGCCATGTCATTACTGTAGCAGATGATTTTTAGTAACAGTAAAAGATAATGTAAAGCAATGCACAGTTGTTGTTGGTTGTTGATATAATTTTTTAGCTTCGGTTGTTAGTCGACACTCTGACTAGGATGGGTAACTGAATGAACTTAGAATACGGTCCATGATATCAGCCACAGAAAAAACCATAGTGTTTTCTCGTCGGCATCCCCGTGCTACAGAACGAACATAGTGGCTACCGGTAATGCGAGAAGAGATAATGTTAAATTAATATATGGAGCTGAAATTAGCACATGCCAAACACGCACGCCGTCACAAATAATGCTGTTTTGTTGTAGAACTCCACAATCAAGCAATGAAAAATTTTTCGGGGGGGGAGTCTTTTTATTAAGTACTAAAAGTCTTGCATACTCGGTTTAATGTATTACATGTTTCTGCATCTACAGTGGGACCTTCAAGGTACAGTAAGCCAACCACTCACCCACTTCCTGTTCTCAATGTCGCTTAGACCGGTGTGTGCACGCTCTTGATTAAATTAAGAGCATTGACAATGGAACAGTACCATGGAAACGGTTTTTGCGATGCCTGGCTAAATGTTCGGTTTGCTCATGCTAGTTATGAGTGGCGGGATGTTTCATTTCCCGCATGTGCAAGAAACAATTTTTTTTCTCACCGTTTCACAGTCCATTTTACCCCTTGAAAATCTAAACGCATAGTATAGACCTGTATTTCTCAACACCACATAGTTAAACATGTTATAAATGGTTGTAGTCGCGTATAGTTAAGAAATAACATAATTTTTAAAAGTTTGCTCTCTGGGCTTACATATGTTCAAAATAAAAAGATTATGAGAATATATCTGTATACGGATCTCACGCCAACATAAAATTAGTTGTTGAAAATGACAAATACAAAAAATGGTATATACACAGCCAGTCAAAAGTCACTTTTAGTGACAGTGACAGTGAAACAAGTACATTATTTAAATTATGCAGGTTTCAAGTATGCCAAGAAAACTTGACTGCTATAAAGTAACCAATGGGCCTAGCAGAAATGAAGGTAAGATGGGAAAAGTATGAAGCGGTGGGAAGTCTACTGCATCAAGACGGTAGAAGCCGGTTCCCCCTCGAAGTGAATGCCAACAGAATACGACCTGGATGGCACTAGGAATTCGCCGTTGTATAGTCGAGGTCGAACACCCTTGCAGCTGGGCTGAATTTCATCGCATCATGATGTTTGCTTTCGCGCTTACTGTTGCGCCGACAATAGACTGGCCGTACAATTTTTATTTTTTTTTAGTTATTCTGTATGTTTTAGTGATCTCAACGTTTCGGGCAGTGTGTTTTTTGTCTTCGGAAAAAAACAGAATGCGAATTAAGGCGTTGACATGAATTTCTTCTGACGTACATGAACTCGTCTCTTAATATGAAAGTTATATGTCTGCCTTCCGTCCAGGCGGCGTTTTCAAGCATCCTCATTCTAGGCTTGCCTGTTTTCCCTGCCTTAGTTCTTCTTGCCTCGAGCTCTTCCTCCCAGTAGAGCTTTCTCCAGTCCCATGACCGGGCCTTCCACGCCGATGGACAGTATAAAGGCTGCGGCGTAGGACAGGACCATGTTCGCAATGAAAGTTGAAGCCTGCGGACAATTTGGTAAAAGAAGAGCATAGTACATGGATAAAATTGTGAGCCAAATGTTTCTAACAATTAGTACAGTTTGTGTCAGCAACGAAGGTGCAAGTGTAAGAGTAGTAAGCGTTGTTCGTTGGTTTCCAACACACGGCCAATTGCGTGAATGGGGTAAATTTCGTTGTCAGTGTCAAAAAGCAACTGCATGTGACCGTTCAAAATGTGCCTATAGGCCTCTCTTAATATTTATGCAAATGCTATTCACGACAACTGAAAACGAGGCTGTAGAGGACTCGCGTGTCACGATAGCTGTAAACGGAAGGGATCTTTCCATGGTTCCCGAGATACCTTCGGGTTTGTTGAGGATTACGTCAAAAAGGCCTCCAAAATTAGTGGAGAACAAAAGCATAGTAAAGGCTTCAAGTATTTTTCAGAAGCCTACATTCATAAGGGGTAAGCGGTTTATTAATTTTGTTGACGTTGCAAGCATGCACCATTTATATATAGGCCTAAACGGCCGGTTGTCGCCACATTCGAGCAGTTTGAAGATTTTTTGTCATTCAGTGGATTACCTTTTTTTCGAGTTCAGAATTCTCTATAAAGATGCTGATTCGAATATTACAGACGTTATTTCATTATGCTGGGCGGGATCAATCATGGAGTAGGAAAGACTGGATCAATCGAAATGCACCAAAGTGCAATAACGTGTACGGTGTAGGGCCAAGTGCCCAAAGAAGTGGTTTCAAAGTCAAAATCTACGTTGAATAGTGGCCCCTCGTCTCCTTTGATCTTAACAATCCACCTTCTTGTTCTTTGGAAAGCAATGAAAGCTAATTTCCGGAGATGGTCTTCGTTTGTGATTGCTACAACTCAGCATTGAACAATGCCTCACCGACGCGTGTTCTCCGACAGTGCGGACTCCCTTACAGCCTCAGTTCCGGTGCATAGAATTTGCATAAATATCAAGAAGGGCCTACTCCCTAGTTTTAACAACAATGACTATTTAATTGAAAGTCCTCAAAACCATAACTTTTCATAATATCCCCAAAGTAAATGCGTGGGAAATCAGCTCATAACAACGAAGGGAGAGTCACTCACCAGCATAATATAGGTGAAGTGATACTGGGACTTGGCACTCGTGTAGAAGGCATAGATGAGGATGGGATGGAGGAGGTAAGCACCGAAGGTGATACGGCTTAGTGGGGCCCAGAAACTCCAACTTAGCAGACTGTTGACGGGTCCTGCAGATAATTTTCAAAAAGTGGTCACCGATCCAACTATATAACGCTGTACGAACAGGCTGTACAAGCGTAATGCATTACCATGGCACCTGAATGATGTAACATCCGTCAGTATCCTCAACCACCGAAAATGTCATTGACGTCACAACTGCTATTGTCACAGTCATTGGCAATGTCGTTGCAAGCTTTGAAAAAGATGTTGTCAGTCAAGATTTACAAGATGATGTGAGTTATACTTCTACTGACACTTGAAAAGCAAGGAAGCTGTACGGAAGATTTTTTACCTCCGTATCCAACAACACAGGAAAACGCTACCCAGCCCACAGCCATGACAAAGCCTGCTCGACTAAGCGTGGTGTACATCACTGCAGCGTACTGCGGTAGGGGTTCTCCTTCGTCACGATAGGGTCCGTAAACGATAGAGAGACCCACACCAATGGCTAAAATCCACATGATGGTATTGACCCACTGAAAAGAGATGACAATACGAGGATGTATATCGGTTTGATCGAAGTTGGCTCCCAGGCCTCCCATCACGGCAGAGAAGGCGTACACGCATTAGCGGCAAGTTGATATGGGTTGGACGTCTTTTGTTTAATTGGGTTTGGTTTGTTTGAGTTCATGTGGATTTTGGTGAGGTTGGATCGGGTATGATTAGGCCTTGACTGGTTGGGGTTAGATCAAACTGGATTGGATTGGACGAATGCTTGAATGGATGTGTAATACATGACGGCGGTTGGTTGGCCTATATGGAATTGGGTAGGATAGGGTCGGGGTATTCTTTTCAATTTTTATTAAGTTGGGCCTCGGTGCTTAGGAAATGGAGGTCAAGGGAGGGAGGTCAAAGCTCATGTCAGGAATCGAAAGCGCCAGCATTTCGATTCCTGAGTGCTACAGCCTTTCTTTGGGGAAGACAGAGGATTTTCGCCCCACCCACACCAAACACCAGGATACCCCTCCATGGGTTTTAGGTCGGGCTAATTTTAGTCTTACCTGGAGTCTACCTCTGTTTCGGTCTCACCTTATTCATCTTGAAGGTCTGCCGATTCAGTTTGTAAAAGATGTAGCCGAATACCATGCCCACCAAATAAGCAGGGATACGGCAATATGGCTTGCTGTAGATAATATCAGCTGCGGTGTTCTCATAGACAACAACAGTGTTGTTGTTGTAAGGTCTGTTGGTAAAAGTGGGAATATATTCAAGAATTTATCAACCCTGTCTTCATTAATCCATAATGTATCAAAAACAGCTGGTACTTCAAGTCGTTTCATAATAGACCCTGCATGAGAATTATGATCAAAATGCATGACAAACCATTTTTTGGTCTTTAAATCAATACGTCTCAGAGCAATTGATGGACTGCTATTATCGATTGGTCTAGCAGACCACTCAGTTGACGAGAGAAGTATTTTATGGGGAAACTGAAAACGTTTTACAAATATTAAAATGACATTTTTGCAAGAATGGATCTGAAAGAAAAAAATTGACAATTGAGTAGAAACATGCGGGCAGATACTGTCAGACTCTTTGCACTGTGCAGATGTCAAGATTTGTTACCCGTGTCTCCGAATGAACTAATTGTCCTCGACCAATTTCCGACTTCGCAATGAACAATTGAATTCCATCACTATAGTTTACATTTATACAAAATCCATTGTCTTCATGTCATATTATGGACTTGGACCGCGGACATTATGGACTGGGACCGCGGACGGCCGGTATTGAATATAATGTTTGAAATTACTGGAACTGGAACATGTTTGTATCTAAGGCTCATGGTCTCTGCTTGTGTTGACTTAAAACACCACAATCTTCGACCAAACCTGTACTCCTGATGTAGGTTTTTTGTCAATATTTCCATTTTCGGATAAATGCCAATCACAGCAAGCGTCGTAAGTTTCAAAATTCCCAGTAGAGCACCAATGTCTGTTAAAAAAGAGAAAGACCTCTAAAATATATCTCAAAATCCTTCAGTGTATCACTAATAAATACGGCTTAATACGCACGGGCTGAGTCCAAGAGACTGCACAGAAGCACCGTAGTGGGTAGCTATGTAAGCAGTGATGCCAAAGGAACTCAAGCACAGTGCAACAATCAGTCCAATTCCTAGCTTCGAATGCCTGAAAAACCACGAAAACAGTATATTAGGTACGGAAAGCTGGTTCAGTGACGATAGTTTTTAAAGTTGAGAGAAATCTAAAGATACATAATATACATTAGTTAATTGGAGACGATAGTTGTATAAAATATGGAGAATTGAGCGCATGCTGAGTTTTAAAACACGAGGAAATCACGGTTTACACCCTTATCACTCGTTCATCTTCTCTTGGACTATATCTAATGCCAAAACGAACCAGTAAAATTTATTTGGATGAAAATATTGATTTTTACCCCCGTTTCAACTGCAGTATTTCTTAATAGATTCTTGCTTTGAAATAGAAAACAGTCGTCCATCTTGGAAACCCCTGTACTCACTTGTACAGTAGATAAATGATGACAGGACTGATGACGAAGAACTGCATGTCATTAGCCAGATACCAGGTCCAACCCATACACTATAACAGTCACGAGAACATTACACAGGGAAAGGTTTGACAGTGGCATTTTATGTCGAAGTTGCTTATTAATGAAAAACACTCGTTTGGTACACACTGGGCCAGTGCAACATGCAACCAGCACCGCTTCCATTCCAGCTGAAACTGACATGAAACGTGAGATAGATTATAGGCCTAGTTACAACACGACGAAACACCGAATTTCATTCTAAGATAAAATTGAAAATTTTTTCACAGGGGTATCTGAAAAGTCATGTAAGCTTGTCAGTGCCCGCAACGTAATGTAATTCTTGCCATGTTTATCTTTATGGTGTGAGCTTGTAATAAATGACTCAAGAAAACGGTCATATCTTGAGTGTTAACAAGTTTGAGCACTTAACGAATGGGCATTAGGAATAGGTTCGGTCAACCGAAGCACCGTAAAACTGTAGCACTTGATGACAGGCCATGAATAACTGCTCAGGCATATTGTTTTCTCTCTAAGTTCACGAGAACAACGAGTGATCTTCTTCGAATTATGTAATAACATAACTCCAAGAAGTTAAACTCCTGGCGCTTACAGCTTTATTAGGGCCCGTAGTTTAATATATTTACGTACATTGTATCTTAAGCATAGACAGTTTACAGAGCACAGTGCCACGCAACGAAAATATAGTTCCAGGCCAAACTGTCACGTACATTTCTATGACAGATTCTCGACTGGTATTTGCGTATAGCAGCAATATGAACCGGTTATTTCGCTCAATTATATCAATCACTTTATGGTCCATAACAATACCTGTTGAGATAGACTACCGGGAAACGGGTACAAGTTATTGATGTAGAGTAGGTTTGTCCACCATCGCTCTCGGCAGTTGCCTGCTGCGGTTTCAAAAAGGGTAATCTTGCCCGGACCCTGGCCGAAATAGACGGTCAAGGTGGTCCAGATCGCGATGGAGATCATGTAGGCCGGAGTGATGCGGACGAAGCGATGGAGGTAGAAAAGAAACCAGTTCAGTTTGCCGTTGGATTTCTCGAGTTGCTTCAAGGTGAGGTAAACCAGAAGGAGGCCGCTGTAGTGTTGTACAAGTACACCAACTTAACTTAGGAACAATTCACAACGAAAATGGGGAGGGAAATAGTGTTTTCTGTAGGTTTGGGGCACATCATTTTAAGAAACTTCTTCATGAAACCTTTTAAGGCCTTTCCCAGCACACTACCTATTATTATAAGGAAGAGAAACGAAATGGTATCCAAATCGCATTTTCTCCCAATTTCTTAAGTTCTTCTCTTTTTTGGTGGGGAGGAGGGTGGAGAGGGGGAAAGGTCAAGGACCTCATTGTCACCAGAATCCTTTACCGCAGTAGCAGATTTCTTTGAGATTTGAAGTTTTTCGTGGTGAAGGTGGCAAGTACAGGTAATGGGTTTGTGGTATGGGGTCTGCTCTTTGGATGTCACTGTTGTGTTTGTTATACACGTGGCTGCTACACCTGTGGTTGGCCTTCGTTGCAAAGGTAAAAGAATAACTCACGAAGTGTTAAAAATCCAACGCAGCTATCAAAACACCAGATATCAACCCTGTTTAAAATCAATGAGACCAATTTCTATTTTGAACAGACTGGGAGGTGAATTCGAAAACCAACCAAATGGTGATAATTCGGTAAACGTTGGCTGCCTGTACAAGTTGCAGACAAAATCGAGATGGTCTGTTTGGCCTTATCTAAAATATCTTTCTTTTGAGTATGTGTGGTTCAGAAGTTGCCAATCCCATGGTTTTTAAGTTAGTACATTTCTAATGGGCAAGGATGAAGCGGCGTTTGAGAAAACAAGAAAAGAATTTTTGACAATGAACTCTGCGCTACTGCACGGTGGCATACTTAGCGCTCCTTTGGACTCTGTGACAGTATGTGGTGAAAGTTATGGTGGTGATTATGGTTACGAGGGTAGGTGATAATGATGATGTGAATACTGATCGTGATGATAACTAATGCAAAGGTAACGAAGGTGAAGACTCCCTAGATAAAGATGATATCTAAATAACGGTTTAAAATCATAGGCCAACGCAGGTAAGAAGAGGCGCACCAATATCAACGTTACAGTACCTGAGGAAGAAGAAAGTGTCAACGGACACCGTGGAATACAAGATAGCGGAAAACCAGAACGATGAGTACAGCTCGGTGCCCGCGTAGCGAGGATCATCTATCGAATCAAAATGCACAGGATTCGTGTGAAATTTAACATGCACGTGAAATGTTTCCCCGGAATAGGGGGTTTGACAAACCACGGCGAGGTTTGGAGAGTACGTGTAGACGGGGAATCGTTGGTTTGAGTCTGAACGGAATAGACGTTAGTGGAGGAAGCGTCAGACCAAAGCTTCGTGGGAGTGGCAAAGATGCCTCCTCATTGTTTGGAAGGGGGCAAAACAGGGGGCCTCATTGGAATCGAGGGCATTATAATTGCTGGCGTCTGGTATGACAATGTTTCAGTTTGAAATCCGTGGCCAAAGTTCACAGCAATCGGTCCATGTATTGCCTGTGTATTCATTCAGGATGTATAAGAATGGAGGGGAAATCAGTTATTTATCACTACACAATTTGTGTGCGCGAAAGGCTTCCAATCTCTTTCATACGCCTTGCTTCTATGCAATGATCTTCGGTATGTTGGTATATTCAGTATCTAACAAATCGAACGAGGGTATTTGTTTGGGCTTGATCATGTATCCAAAGACAAAATTGAATCTTACTCAGGACAGGCTAAACATTTAGTTTTGTTGTGACGGATTAGGTGTGTGTGAAACTACGATACCTAAAAACGGAGTCATGAAATAGATGGTGTGGCCGAGAATAATCCACCACATGCTGATGACACGGATCCCGTTCAGGACGCCCAGGTTTCCAGCCGCCTCTTTGGTGTTCATGATCTTCGCACCGTTGTGCAATGCTGAGAATCCCATCAGAAGAGTATCCAGAAAACCTGGTGGAAACACAACAACGTCTATGAAGATGTACTTAGAAGTCTAGAGATGCTGATTCGTGGCACTAGTGTCGACAAGAAAAGTGGCTGCAGTCGCGGTTAACCGAATTCAAAACACGTGTTTTAGCCGGTAGAAGTCAATACTGATAAAAGAGCCTTTCGAAGACGGCAAAGGTTAATTGTACAATCGGAGTTCTAGATTCTAGAATCTCATTCTTAAGTGAGGGATTTTCTTAGGGATTCCTCAAAATTGTCAGTTACATTTGTAAAACTGTTAGTTCTGATGCAGTGATCTGTGCTTGTTACAGTTGGGTCAAAACAGCCCTTCATAACTTACCCATTTTCTTAACCTTTTTCTTATTGGCTTTGACACCGCAAGTGCAATACACAGGTGCATCGGTTGAGGGAACGGTGTTTTCTGTGGCTTCCAAAGCGCCCTCCACGTCGAGAAACCCATCGTTATCGTGCGTAGTATGGTGGTTTCCGCTGAAGCGGTTCATCCCTGGCCAGTCGATGTTTCCGTTGACGCTTGCTCTACGCTCGATTTCCTTCTACAAAAAGAAGCATATGACAAGCATTCTGTACATAAAGCGACTCTATGCCGATAGCCCACATTGTTTTTTATCTTCAACTGGGGAATTATGTGCACTTTATAGTGATTTGTGCACAAGTTGAAGAATCCCTGGTTTGATCATCACGACGTGGAACTGATTCTGGTTCCACGTCGGCAAGGCCAATCAATAAAAGCTAAAAGGACTCGATTAAACAAGTGAAAATTATAAACTTACATGCATCATGAAACCTTGGCGTGAAATGTCTCCATGCAGTCGTAAACCAAACTGCAACAAGCGATGAAGAAATTTAGAACGTTAACAGTTCACCAACCACGGACAGCCACCACGGTAGCCTTTCAGACACAGACACGTGAACGCCATACAAACCTCTTTCATAGATTTCTTCGTTTTCTCTCCAGAAAGGGCTTCCTCCATCTTTTCAATTTTAGCCTTCGTTTTAGTGATGTTGGCCTGGATTCGTCTGTGCGAAATCAGGTGGTACAAAGTTCCTACGACAACCATGAGCAGGAAGACCCACAAGATGCATCTGTAAAGATAATCAGGAGCAATAAATTACGTGGTCTTCTGCAACCGATTGAGACCTCGTGCTGTGAAACTGATGTAAGTTGGACATTTTTCCTCGTGTTCCGGGGGGGGGGGGCTACAAGCTGCACACCTAAAGCAACATCACCGAAGGCTGTTGGCTACAGATGGACATTGATCATATAGGGGCGTAGCTCATGCGGGCCCATAAACTATGACATGCATTTCTGTGTATTATTGTTTATATTTCTAACAAAATATTTAAATTTTCAACTTTTTTTCTGCTCTAATCTGATCATATGATAATTTTGAAGACAGATATTTTCACCCTGATGATAAAACATAAGCCCCGTGTTTTCAGATTTCACCTCCATTATAGATTACTATTTTCAAATGTAGCCAGGAGCTCTTCAAAAATGGATAGACAGGGACTAGGTATCTCTCTCGCGCGCCCTATTTTCGGCCAGGTAACAATGTAAACTTTCTCGTAATGCTGGCTACTGACAAGCAACATGCTGACTACTACAAGCAACATGCAGCATGTCAGCTTGTAGCTCCATTTTGTTGTTGTTGGCTGGTAATGGTAAACATTACGGTCCACTCTTGAAATACATTTCAGCCGCATTTAAGTGTTCAGAGTACCTTCCATGAAAAAAAATGCGTATAATACGTGCACCCGGCCCCCCTTCGATGGTCGCCTCGGATTCAAGCCATTTGTTCTGTTACAGTCACCTATGTAAGTTCTACACAAAGCACACCCAAGGCGCCCGTTACTTTTGCAAGTCATTGTTTGCTGTGCCGAGTAGTACGTAAATGTTTTTGTTCACAATCGTTAGCAGTTCTTTCGTGCTCAAGTCTGATGTGCTGTTGTGTTCATCAAATCCAAAGAGTCAACATTCGCCACGTAATAGAACAGGCAATGGACCACACCGATGCATATAGGTGGTGAAAGTCTTATTGGCAAACAAGGGAGTGTAGGTGTAGCAAAGGGGCTTTCAATTCACAAGAAAAAGAATGACAAATGAAAAGAGAAGAAAAACAAGGGAGAAAAAAAAAACATGTTTGGGGATTAAAAAGGCAAGAAGGGGAACATAGTAGAATTCATCCCTGCCATGGGTATGTTTGACCAGAATCTGCTCAGTTCTCCGTCCTGGAAATATTTTGCCCCGAGGAAAATTCCACACGTACACCTTGGCCGCACATACGAATTGGTTCTCTAAAGGAGATATTTTTGTTTGTCACCATGTCGCTATAGTTTTACGATATCTCAAAGCTTTGCGGCTTTCATCTCATCAATAACATTTCATTTCAGTGCACATACCCGGAGTGTTTTTGCAAATTGTCATGGGCGTAGGCACACAGAAGCAGCTTCGCCTTTTCTGATTCGGGGGATCTTTGTTCACAGAACCCAACAGAGTTGGCACCCAAGTGCACGCAAGCGACTTTAGGAGGGTTTTGTGTGAAGACTGGTTTGCAGTCATGGGAAATATATAGACTGCTATGGCATGTTAAACGGGGTACTATAATTGATCGTGTTTTTGATAGAAGAGTTTTGTTTAGAAGCAGTTTTTGTGTTAAATTTGTGTTAGAATTAAACTTTGTCGGCAGTCGACCACTCTGTGGAATCCAAGACCCAGAAAAGAGAAATGACCAAAATTGGAAAATCGTTTGTACATGTACTTACAATGTTACGATTGCTCCCGTTTTCAATGGGTAATTGAAAATGCAACTAATCTCGACACTTTCTCCGAGATCTGCAATACAAACAAAACAAGAACATTTGTTAGCCGGTAGTTCGGATTTACTCTTTTTGTGCAGCGTTCTACACAAGAATAAGTGGTGCTCTAAAAAGGCAACACAAAATCATCAGCGCGAGTTTTGGAGGGGAAGATGCGTTCATAACGAATTCACAAACACATGTACATACGTTGCAAAATGACCGACGATCTACAAGAAAATGGAACACAGTTCAGTGAAAAAAATTCCAGCTCTCTATATATAGGGAACCTTACAAAAGGGCTGACAAAAACGGTATGGAAAACTAATAACGAAAAAAAAAGGGTGTAGTCAAAATCGAGCTGCAATTTTCCAGATAACCTATGAATATCATCCAGTTCATAAGCTGTAAACGGCCAAACGTATCGTGTTTCCCATTGGACATAAAGAATAGTCCCCTGTGCCTTTGAAATAGTTGGAATTCATGCGTAATATTGGTACATGGACAATACTCCTGTCAAAACGCATTTCCATGTTAAAGCTGGCTTTCCATATGTACGTTTTTATTGTGCGTTGCATACACGGTGCATTAATTCATGCGTTTCACTTGCACGGACACAAAAATCCACTCTTATAACATAACACACTTGTGCGTAGCGTTTTACCGTCATGATCGCCCCAGGAGCGATTTTGACGGGTACGCAACACTTGGCGCAAGGCGTCTTAACGCCAAAATATTTCAGCCGCACCATTTTCATTGCAACTCGGTAATCAGCTGATAGTTACTGACGGACCAATATCTGCTTAAGTCTTCTCTGGTTGGCTAGTTTGCAAGGTGGCATGCATCATCTCACGCACACAAAATATTCGGCAATTAGTTGCAAGCAAATAAAAGTAGTTTCTTTCAAAGTCGAATGGGGAGAGGCATTTTAAAGGAGAAAATCTAGCGCAAGGCTGTTCCTACCTGGAATGGTTCCAAATATTTCCTTCAGGTCGGCATTGGAGCAGCTCGACGGAGCACACAAGCCCGTGCTAAGAGTCGTCACCTGACATATAAGGGGTAATGTTAGTCATAGTGGGCGATACTCAGGACAGATTCAGATATTCTACAACATTTTTATAGGCATACTTGTTTTGACAAAAACACCCTTGCTTCTAAGCAATAATATTCCATACCAGCACGTTCCACAGCTACATGTTATCAGCTGGCTCTTTTAGTTTTAACGATATTTCACAGTGCATACCTTGTAAATGTTATGGAAGGTGGAAACCAATTCCACTTCAAGTTTGATGCTAGCAACACGAATGCCGACAAGTGCTGACAAAGCAGGCTAAAACACTTAGGGACCGTTGCGAGCTCAGTGCAGGTAGCCTTTAGAATGGACCCGTGTAACTTGCACATTGACTCAGACAATATTTCTAAAATTTGGAAAAATTCTGATAACAAGGAGTTGTAGCATTTGAACTCTATGATTTTACCTTTTCAAAACGGTATTACACACCGCACTGGATTTTCATTGGCCACTCTAAAATTGGTTTTGCACACTATAAATCTCCGGAATATAAACTAAATGCCTATCTTCAGTGACGACACTGTGGACCTTTCTTCTGTTTGCAAAAAAGTATAATGACGGCCATTTTGAAGGGGTCGCTAAAGTTGGCAACAACTCAGGTCAAAATGGACATTTTGCTTTGTAATATTCTAATGGATAACATCTACATTAAGTATTTAATCAAATTAAAAAAAATATTTAGTCATGTAATATGTCACGAGATTGTGTAAATTTGTGCATCATATATTTTACTTCGTACTCAAGGCCAGCCAGAATTTTTCCAACGGCTTATTAGCACACTGACAAAGCTTCGTTTGTAACTCAGTTCCCGTGCTCAATATTCTTTGTTGCGCTGTCCCCATTGATACCTACCGAGGCCCAGTAAGTGAGGGTGCAGTACTGCGTCTCAAACGGGGCGTCTGGGTTCCACTCATTGACTGCCTGACACTGTTCCACATTACCGATACTGTGGGTGTTGTAAGTAGTCAGGGCCTCAAGATTGAGAAAGTTTCCATTGGATAACCACACTACATACAAGCAAGACAAATTGGAAAACAGTAGGATACACAGCTTACATTGCTGTAAAACAATGAAGTTTTATGAAATTAAATGACACATAATTACGAGCACGTCAAGGTTTCAGTTAGGACGCAGTGTGTTCAAAATGCGAACAAAATAATGGAACACTCTAAAACGACGAATCCAGTGACCATGGTAACGCTACCTCTGTTCATTTTCGCAGTGCCCAGCACCAATGGCAGTGAGCATCGGACATTGTAATATTGTGTGGAGCCACTGCTCTGTGACAGTCACTCCCCGCAAACGAGACACAGCGCTTTCCGCCATTAAAAGGAGCAATCATATATGTCCAGTGACATGGGCATAAGTCCCAGGATAGGAGTAGGGGTATCTATCCCCCACTTTTGAGGGGGGATTGGCTATTGAGTCATCCCCGACTATTTGTGGTGAGCCAAAACTTAAAGCGGATGGTGAAGAAATTTTCTGACTTCCAACGACAAAAACGTAATTCAATGTCACTCAAAAAGGGAAAACCATAAAAAAGCCATAAATATGCCATTCCAAGATTGCAAATTTCAATTTTATTATAAAGCACACAATTTTGAACAAAAGGATAAAAAATCCACGTTTGCACCTCTGGGTTTGCCTCTGAAATATCAGGGATTGAATCCAGAACATTTTTTAAACCCATGCATGGCTTTTAATTGGTCATTCAAAATTAATCATTTACGATTTTAGTTACGTCAACCATTAAAAGGATTAATTTTTGCACTGAAATCCAAGTCGGAAGTCATTTAGAATTTGTAAATACCATGGAGCACATTGTAAACTTTAAATTTTGTGTCTTGAAGTGCACAGCAGGTCCGGATTGACTACAATATTTTGAGGAAATAAATGTGGAATGAAAGACCACTTACTCTGACTGGCATAGGGCTTTCCGTTGGCGATATCAGTAAGAAATTGTAAAGTGTTGTTGGCGCATACACTGGACACATTTTGGAGGACGTTGTTTTGAAGGTACCTCAGAAGTTCCACCTGAATAGCTAGTGCTATGTCTTGCCAACTGACCTCCTCTTGCAGCAGGCCAAGATCCACCAGAAGCTGTAGTGGGTCTTGAAGGAATGTCGAGTTCAAACCTGTGGCTGAATCGTTTGCTGCAGCCACGAGAAAGTCTTGGAATTGTACGATCAAGCCCTCTAGTGAGCCAGAAGCCAGCAGATTGGCGACTTGCTCCACAAAACCGTCAGGGAGTTGTGTGTCTCCTAGTAGCTGGTTGATCATTCGCTCAATGATAATGGCCTGGACCTCATCGCTTCTGTTGGTCGAGGAAGAGAGTTCCTGAAGTACCTCGATCAATCCGTTTAGTGAGCCAGAGTTTAGCAGATCAGCAACTTGTTCCGCGAAGTTGTCCGGTGGTCCAGTATCACCAAGCAGCTGGTTGATAATTTGCTCAATGATGACAGCCTGGCTTTCATCACTTCCATCACCTGAAGAAGGGAGAAGCCCCTGAAGTACCTCGATCAATCCATCTAGTGAACCAGAGGCTAACAGATCGGCGACTTGCTCCACGAAGCCATCCGGAACTTCTACATCACCAAGCAGCTGGTTGATAATTTGCTCAATGATGACAGCCTGGCTTTCATCACTTCCATCACCTGAAGAAAGGAGAAGGTCCTGAAGTATCTGGATCAATCCATCTAGTGAGCCAGAGGCTAACAGATCGGCGACTTGCTCCACGAAGCCATCCGGAACTTCTACATCACCGATCAGCTGGTTGATAATTTGTTGGATGACTTCTGTCTGAGTTTCGTTGCTTCCGTTGGCTGAAGAAGCGAGGAGATCCTGGAGTACCTGGATCAGTATGTCTTGTGAGCCAGAGGTCAGTAGATTGGCAAATTGCTCCACGAAGCCGTCTGGGACCTGCGTTTCTCCAAGCAGTTGACGGATCAGCTGCTCGACAATAGCCGACTGGACTTCGTCACTCAACAGGTCTTGGAATTGCTGGATTCCGCCGGCTGGCGAGTCAGTGACCGTCTCGCCACCCGTCAACAGCTGCACGACAAGCTGTCGAATGACCTCAGCCTGCGCAGAGCCCACCGGAATCAGGTCCTGGAGCTGCTGGAGCAAATCGATTGGCGGCTCCGTGGCCACCACCTGCCTCAACATGTCACCGGCGCCGTCGCCGGGAAACACCAGGGGAAAGTCTGCCCCCAGCCCCGTGCATGTCTGCAGGGAAAGGCAACCCAGAAGCAATACGAAAAGAAACGAGTTGGTCATCGTTAAGCTAAACTCCCTCCACTATGCAGAATGGTTTCCACACTTCACGAGATGTAGATCTTGTATCTGTGTCAGTAAGCAGAAGTCTACGGGAAGCTCTTTGTTATAGTTGTCTCACATGACTATGGTTTCCACAGCACCATCGCCTGTCAATATAAGGTCGGGAGAAAATCCATTGAATAAACAGCCGCGTTTACATCATCTCGTGAGAAGAGACGAAAAGGGTGTGTTCAATTGCTTGTATCTCGAATGTGTGGGCAGCATCTAGTGTTTTCAGGTGCAAGCATAGAGATGTCACTTCAACCTTGGGAAATTCAGTGATATAAATATGTGTGATTAATGCAGTTCGTTATCTCTACAAGAACCAGCAGCTTTTATATCTGAACAGAATTTTTTTTTAATATAGGAAAAGTTGAATTGACATATAAATTTTGGTATTAACGGCAAAAGTGTTGGATAATAACGTTTAATGTGCTAGGTTCAACATGTGTAGGTCCTAATGCCAGATTCACCATTTTCAAAGGGCCACTGACGAAACCACTGTAAGAGTTAGATTCAGCACCTCCGTTTTTAGTGTGACAACATTTATTCATGTTTATCTAATGCCCCTTGATAAACAGTCATCAGTGTGTGCATAAGTAAGCACGGTTTTAAATCTCGCGAAGCAGTTGAATATCGATGTTGAAGTATTCACCTTGTAAACTTTTCAATATCATAAGAATTCATTTTTTCCCTAGTGCCTGTTTAATTAGTAGTCTCTTTTATCTGTTTTAGGTGTTCCTGCAGACTGTATCAGTTACGTGTTTCACCAGTAATTCATGTTGTCGATATTATTTCTTTTTGTTTTAATATCACATACCTTTTACTACGTACATCTTAATTACAAGATTTGCTCCCATGTGTTTACGTTAGATAAGTATTCCTGCTTATATCTTTATTGGTACTTGGTAGTTGTGTGTTATTTGTAGTTTGACCCTTTGACCATTTTTTTTTCCTGATTCGTCGTGATTTTGTCCATACATTAATTTTCTTCCTGTCTGTGCCAGAATTGTGATTTCAAATTTTGTTGGTTTGTGTATCCTTTGCCATGTGTCTTGTTAGTAATTTCGGTGGGTATCGATGTTTAATCTAGGCCTGCTGTAATAATATATGTTGTTTTAAATGTCATTTGATTTATTATATTTTTTATAAGACTTTTTTGATGTTATTGCAAGATTTGCTGTTTCCAGTATATAATTACTTCGATAAATTCCCAGTCATTAGTGAATTTTAGCTTTTTAAATACTGATTTTTTTGTATAATTCATCCGCTAATGGTTGCTAATAAATTATCTCATCTCATAACTATTCTATCGAGTAAAAATCTTTAAAGACCCTTTATCAAACAGTCTTATACCAAGAAACAGCCTCCGCGACAACACAAACATAGGTCACATTGACCACTTGATGGAATTAAGACGACACCTTGTCCTCCATTGGACATTTTCTCTTTGTTCCTGTCAGGATTTGTTAATGATGACCCCGTCATCAGACTAAGGATAATGTCATGTTATAGGAACTCTTTCAGCATTCTGCAATGGTAGTCGTGCCCGGATTCCCTCAAATGTGACCATATTTATGTAAAACTGAATTTCGAGAAAGGACAAGATGAGTTCTTTCTTCTGACATATCTCCCATTTAGGCATCCTAGTGGAAGGAAGGTAAAAAATGTTAAGTTTCCCATTGATTTACACGAATCAAGATTTTCTAGAAGGCTTCTTCACTCAAATATTGCTCTGGCGACTTTTGACTCACTTGGGCCTGCTTTGTTGATTCAAGTTCAAGAATCTTTTGTAAAAATGATTAGGACCTCTCGCCTATAGAAGAGAATTACGTATATAGCGTAAGCTTTGCGTTTGACTGACACAATGAATTCAGTTTCCCTCAGTGTATTAAGTGATAACCTTAAGCGGTGAATATCTTTATTCCTCTCATACATACAGAGCAGGGAGAACCAGCCTGCATCCAGTTAGATGTAAATTATCAGGTAGTGACACGGGTGTTTGTTGAGAAATTATTTGCAGAAGAAATAGAGGTAACCAGACAGAGTACTTTGTGTTTATATAGGCAAAGCAATTAGGAAAGGATTATTCAATAGGCTCAAAAGGTACAGCCTTGCCTCGGAGCTGTGGGATATTAAGGGACCTTCAACAAATTTTAAGGTCTGGGAAAAAACATCACAGTGTGACATTAACGAGCACAGTTTGAACATTTCTATAGGCCTACTTATTGTCACTTTATGTTTCTGGGAAGCTTAATAGCTAGTGCGCCGCTTACCACAACTTAACACATAAGGAGCTCAGCATCAAGTTGAACATGAAATGATAGGCGCCATCAACTTGAGAACGGTATCGGCCTTTACAGAACACTGTCACCCCGGGCAATGAGATCATTTTCTTGTCTCTGTCCGTACTGTAAGGGGCCAGCTTCATAGGGTTTAAGGTGATCACTGATGGCTGTAAGACGCTCGAAGTGTGATAATCAGACTCAATGAGCATTTTTGTTAATCAAAGCATTGGGCCATAGAGGTTTTTGAATGCACCTCTCTTGTTTTCTTACCCTGGCAATCCCT